AAATACCCGGCCCAATTCAAGAAGATGACAGCACAACCTGGAGCCCCAACGACCACCTTCGTGCCCGGCCCGTCTTCGAACCGCACCGATGTACACACCTCGTCGCCGAAGTCCCATAGAAATCGAATAGGTTAACCAAGTAAGCCGTACTCTGTCCTTTTACCAATAAAATAAGATAATATTTTTATTATGTCTGCTAGTGTTTTAACGTTATGACCTTGTTAGAATTGCAAAAATTACAAAATGTTTTAGAACAAATTAGGGAATATTTAGTTAAAATCGGCCCCTCTCGTAGAGAACGTTCAGACACTGCTAAAAATGAAGTTACTACAGCAACAAAATTGTACAGTAGTTTGGAGTATATTTCGTCTCAAATTAAGGTTAAATTCGAAAATTCTGAGATAAGCAATGAGAACTTGCCGCACATAAATAAGTGTATAGACAACATACATTCCACCTATAAGAAAATTATTCTCTTATTGCAAATAGAACATTCTTTTCAGCCAATTGTCACAATGGGTACTGAAAGATTTGATTTGAAAACAGCAATTTTCTTACTTCTGATTATGAATAAACGGGAAAACGTAACTAACCAATTGATAGACAGTATCCTATTGTACAGTAGTATGCTTAATAATAAAGGTAATGAGCAGCTAATACACTTTGTATTAAAAACCAGGTTCACAGACAGTGCAAAGCTGCATCTTCAAAATAATTATAAAGACGTGAACTCTCTAGTTACGGATATATATCTAGTTACGATATACACCTGCTTCAAAAGAAAACTGCAGTAGCCTTACAAACACAACTTTTTAGTACCAAACAGGTTTGTAGGTCCATTGAAAAATTCGGCTCCGAAATTGAGCAACTTTTCATCAATTTAACATTAGCTCAAGCCGACGGGGACGACGGGAAATATGATACCATACATCCATTAAATGAAAAAATGGCTATAAAACGCTTTTCCGACGGTCTGTCCGATGCGAGATTGAGCACAATCATCATCTCAGAGGCCATTCAAGCAGCAGTCGATGAAAACACAATTAGTTTTAGTGGTGAACAGGTGATGAATTTTAGGCAACACGGTTGCAACCGATTTAGTAATAGGCGCGGTCGTGCTAATTCATACAGAAATAATTATAATCGGAATTACAATCATCATGGTCACCCTAGCAACTCGACTACTCGTAATCATAATAATACGCCTCGAACGGAGCAATTCCGAGATAGTTTTCGCGGTAGATTCCAGCGTGGAACCCAGAGAGGTCAGCATACAAATCACTCATCCTCTAATACATACTCAGGACGTATTTTTCAAACACAGTCAGAGCCCGCGGTAGAGAAGGAATGTACTTTTAAATTACAATGTAAATAGCGTAGTCCGTTTAAGTACAGAAATAAATCATTCATTAAGTCTTTTAGTAGATAGTGGCGCAAGCCTTTGCGTATTGAAACATGAGTGGCTACTTGAGCATCCTCAATACGATAACAAATTATGCTAAGATAAAATCACTATTAAAGGCGTAGGTGGTAAATTAGTTTCTGAAGGATATGTATATTTAGACTTAGTAAGTAATAATGTTTTTTAGGGCAAAAGTTTTATGTTTTTAAGAATCTAGCTTGTTCCGCTGACGGAATACTAGATGATTTTTTGAAGCGATATAACGCTATTATAAATTACGAATCCAATTCACTTACCTTATCAAATAACGGAATCGTAATAAACTTAAGTATTGATAAAAATAAGGGTCATCACACACACTTGATACCAGCACGGTGTGAAATAATAAAATACATCCCTTATTCTTGTAAAGATGATAGCGTAGTTTTAACGCAAGAGATTAGCGATGGAATTTATATTGCGGGAATGATTTGTAGGCCATTTAATGGTAAAATTCCTTTAAGAATTTTAAATACAATAAATGAGGACGTTACCTTAGATTTTTCAAATATTCTGGTAAAATCCATAAATAATTTTGACGTTTGTCATCTCGAAAAGGAGGACAAATCAGTACAGCGAGTTAAGACGTTGTTTGAATTCCTTGACCTCAGTTACTTAAATAGAGAAGAAAGGCTAGGTATCGAACGGATTTGTGCTAAGTACGCAGATGTGTTCCACATGCCAGGAGATTCTTTATCAGTAACCAATTTCATGGAGCATAATATTGTTTTAGAAGAGAACGTGATCCCCGTTTATTCCAAACCTTACCGTATCCCTCATGCCTTGAGGGGTGGAGTTGAAAAGCAGGTTCGGGAGATGTTAGATAACGACATAATCGAGGAACTCGTCTCCGAATGGTCTAGTTCTGTTCTTTTGGTGCCAAAGAAAGCTGATAAATCAAACGAAAAAAAACATTACCGAAATTTTAGATTCACTTGCAAGCAGTATTTATTTTTCTAAATTAGATCTTTCTCAATCATACTACCAGCTCTCCTTAAATCCTGATTCACGAAAGTATCGTTTAGCTTGAATAAGATGTATCAACTTTCTTTGGACGAAGAGTCACGAAAATATACTACATTTACAGCTGGAAAGCAATACCAAATGAAGCGCTGTCCAATGGGGTTAAACACTAGCGCCAGCTTTTTTTCCAGACTAATGATTATAGCTATGGCAGGACTCAATTATGATAAATGTTTCATTTATTTAAATGATTGCGTTGTAATTGGGAAGTCAACTTCCCACCATAATAAAAATCTCATCGATGTATTAAATAGATTGAGAAAAGTGAAACTTAAATTAAACCCGATGAAATGTGAGTTTTTAAGTAGAGAAATAGTTTACCTTGGTCATAAAATAACATCAGGACTATTCCCCGATCCAAGGAAAATTGCCGTAATAAACAATTACCCAACACCGACTTCCGCGGACGAAGTCAAACGATTTGTCGCGTTTGCAAATTATTATAGACGATTTATATCCGGTTTTGCGAATTTAGTATTTTTTTAAAAAAAGTCAAAATATTTGTATGGTCTAACGAATGCCAGAAATCTTTTCAAATACTAAAAAATGCTTTAACGAACCCCCTGTCTTAGACTATCCGGATTACTCGAAAACGAATATTTTTACTTTAAATGGGAACATTTTTAGATTACATACTATCTAATGGGAATGGCAAAGTCATCGCGTATAAGAATTAGAACTGTTAGCAATCGTCTGGGCAGTACGTCACTTTAAGCTTTATTTATATGGTAGGAAGTTCAAAATTTATTCTGACCATAGACCTTTAGTTTATTTATTTGGATTAAAGGACCCATCCAGTCGTTTAACCAAATTTCGCCTGTACTTAGAATACGACTTTACCGTCGAATACGTCCCAGGTCGAAATAAAGCAGCTGCAGATGCCTTAAGTCGACTCTCGGTGACGTCACAAGACCTAGAAAACATGCACGGAAAAGTCCTAGTAGACCTAGAAAAACCGTGTGAGCGATATAGGAACGATTCGAGCTTATTTATTTCCGACGCTAATTTTTGCTCATACGTACAATCAGCGATTGTAGCATTGCAGGACGAAATTACAAGGATATTAAACGATTTTCATAATATATAACCCACTAGTGGATATCCAGGCATTAACCGCATGATAAGTAACATTAAAAAATATTATTTTTGGCCAAGAATGTCCAATGACGTAATAAGGTATGTTCATAGTTGTAAAAGTTCTCAAACAAAAATGTTCGAGAACCATTTACTATTACTTGCACTGCAAGAATAAGTTTATATTTAATGGGCCCACTAGATTCAGATAATAATAAATATATTTTAAATTTACAATGTGACTTAAGTAAGTTTGTAGAACGAAAACTTCGTTCGTTCGTGAAACTGTTGCGCGATCATTCGTAAATAACTTTATATTATGTTATGATATTCCAAAACAGATTATCAGTAACAAAGGCACAGAATTCACATCTTCTATCATGACAGAAATTTGCAAATTATTAGGCATAGAAAAACTAGTTTCTACACCATATCACCATGAAACTCTCGGTGGACTCGAAAACACCCATAAACACGAAAATATTAAAACCGATTGGAGCGATTGGATTCCATTTTGGTGTTTCTCATTTAATAACAGCGTACATTCGGAAACGAAATATTCACCGTACGAATTAGTTTTCGGAAATTTGTAACCTACCTAGTAACTTATCGATTACAATTGATCCTATGTACAACTATGATGATTACCCGAAAGAGTTGAAGTACAGATTACACATAGCACAACAAGACGCTAAGAATAATTTATTAGAATCTAAGAATTTAAGAAAGACTAAATACGACAAGAAACGTAGTAGTGTAAGTTATAATCCAGGAAACTTGATATAGTTAAAAAAACAAACGGGCAATCAATGAGATGGTTTATATGAAGGTCCATTTACAGTGGTGGAGGATCTATCACCTAATGTAAAAATAATTAAGAATAACAAGGAGATAATAGTACACAAGAATAACACCAAACCCTTTTATTCTTAGTTATTTCCCCTATCATTAAGTTTTTATATAATTAGACAGAATATGTAAAATTAAATTTTTTAAGTTCCTTTTCATAAAAATGTTAGATTGTATTTTTTAAGATAACTTGTGCATAATGCGTGCATGTCACGAACATTTTTTTTTTGTAAAAGGGAGTGTGTACCCTATACTTTTCGGGGAAGGTGTAATGTGATAAAAATTAAGTAAGCAATAAACTAGTCCCACGGCTGTGGAAACGTGGACTCACTCCCACGGACGTGTGGAATTCGGCTTACGCAGCAATCCCCCCCTTCGCGTGTGAGCTGTATGTTAGGACATAAATTTCAACCTGTTTTTCACACAATATACTTTGGACCGTCTTACGAGTAACATGCCTTTTATTTGAACACCTGAAGAACCCATCATATTACAAAGTAATAATATTTAGGAAGGTTACTTAACGCTACGCCCCAATAATAAGAAATACCAGTGATTAATATTTTTAACACTTAAATACAATAATATATACAGACAATATATAATAACTCACTTCCTCCTTCGAATACAGTTTCTGATCGGATCCCGTGTACTGCGCAAAGCCCAGAGCAAGGTTGGTCCTAGGCACTATGGTCACTTTGAGCAAGGCGTCAGTGTGCTCCAAAAGCCAACCGACCAACGCATGACCTGACTCGTGGTACGCAACGATCTTCTTTTCTGCGGGAGACATCGCGTGACTGCGCTTCTCTGTACCACCTGCGGAAAAACATTGGTCACGTTGTTTTTTATACAAACACACACACACACACACACACACACACACACACACATAATATATATATATATATATATATAAACTACTACATCCAGTAGCTGTTCCCCGCGACTTCTTTGTCTTCATTGTTGTCTTTGACTTTCGTGGAAATTATTACGAATGGATTTCATGGATTTTAATTTTTTGCGCGGAACCCCAATTATTTCTCTAAAATAAAAGTAGTCTAAGTTACTCCTTATAACATTAGCTATATGCCAGTGAGTCCCGTCACAATCGGTCCAGCCAAACTATACGCCCAAGTAACTCGAAATTTGTTCCACTAAAATACATATTATAAATAGGGTGTTTACTGCGTGTAATAGATTGATGATGGTTCAAGTTAAGAGTACCTTTAACTGATAAGCATGTATGCATAGATACATAGATGTGGAAAAAGGGAGCGAGGTGTGTCAGGATCGTGCCACATGGAAGTCTGAAGCCTCTGTCTAGCCCTTTGGGTAACAGATGTGAAACTTTATGTATTTATGTACAATGTGACAAGGGCTCCGTAGAGCTATTTATAGTTGTATACATCTAAACGATAATTCTATGCGTATCGCAAGGGGTCAACAAAACTTTTTTCTATAGAATAAGAGTGACAAACGAGTACACAGTTCACCTGATGGTAAGTGGATGCTACGAATCAAAATGCAACTGCGTTGTCACCCGTGAGGACTAAGATGGAACGCCTCGTTTCCAGTAAAAAGGATCTCCGGTCTCTACACTCAAAATACTAAACACAGCAGCGTTAAGCTACTATTTCACGCTGGTATTGTGTGATAGCGTGGTTCTTCCTCGGTCGAGCCGACCCATTCGTGCTACAACTATACTACTAATATAACTACAGTATGGCTCTACCACATATAAAACTTTCTTTTCTTCCTTAAGTAAAGCGCAAGTCCGGTCGTGCTTGGAGTACTGCTGTCACATATGGGCTGGTGCTGCAAAATGCCAGAGCAATGCAAGAGTGAATAGGCGTTTGTTACGCTAAGACAGTGCGATTTACCATCTGAGGCTGCATCACCACTTACCACCAGGTGGGGTTCTGGTCAAGCACTGGCTTAACTAAAAAAAAACAAATGGTAAAATTAAAAATGTTGTTCAACCGACATTAATATAACTGTATTCGAAGACAATTAAATACTCATTATTAAAGATAACTCAAAAACTATGTTCAGATCTTGATTAAATTTATATGGGACACGAGAAGCACCAGCTTTCAAATAAAGAAAGAATCATCAAAATTGGTTCACCCAGAGAAAAGTTTTGAGATAACACACGTAAAAAAACTGCAGTAATATAATGCAATCTTCCCCTGCGGTTGGTCATCACACCCATTATATTATATCCCTATGATACAATCTATACTGGGGGAGGCACATATTCAGCAGCGAAAAGTTATAAGCTATATAACGGTAGTTAAAATCTGATACTAATTACAAACTACTTTTTATAATAAGGCGTGATGAAATAGACTGTGAACGACGTTTAATACCAAGAATCCCATTTCGTCCAATGGGAGTGGAAAGAGAAGACTGTGGGAATTTGTAGATATGTAATACTTATTTTTAGGCGTCACTACCATCAAAACCTGATAGATAAGTGGTGGCGAAGCCTTAGACAGTAAATGTTTAATTGTCTCAAAAGCCTATTAATGCCTTGAATACATCGGACGGTAGGGCAAACGCGGGTAAATGATTGTATTCCTTAGCTATAAGATGAAGTAGTAGTAGATTTTAAGGGAGGCGTCCTCGTCGTCAAAGTGACTCTCCCCCCTTCCACTTGCTTCTTCCTAGCTACATCCATATAATCTGCTACTTCACCTTAGCGTTAAGGCATTGGATGTGTTTGGCAGAAAAAAGCGCTAGCAAGCGCTTGTACGCAAAATGGCGAAACTAAACAGTTTTCGGCCAGGACACGTTTGCTAACTTCAGTAGCGCTGACACAATCCATTTTGCTTATTTAATTTGTTTGTTTTGAAGTAGAGTTTATAAGTTGTTTTTTTTATAGGATAGGGTGACAAACGAGCACACAGTCCACCTGATGGTAAGTGGATGCTGCGGCCCACATATGATGTAGATGTCCTACATCTATCCTCGATTACAAATCAAAATGCAGATACGTTGTCACCCGTGTGGACTAAGATGGAATGCCTCATTTCCAGTAAAAAGGGTCTCCGGTTCTCTAAATTTCTCTCGGTCTTTTGTGCAATATTAGTTTTAAGTAATATAATGACATGAATAAACATATACATGTTATTAAAAATTCATGATTTGTAAGTTTTTAATATGAATACTTTACAAACATATATTTAAATTAGGTTAGGTTTCCCGGTTAAAACTAACTTCGTGTCCGCTTACGATTGCCATTTTGCTTACAAGCGCTTGCTAGCGCTTTTTTCTGCCAAACGCACCCATTCTTTCTTAGTGCTTAAAAATTACATTATTTGACGTAGGCGAGGTGGCTTAACGATCTTGCACGGAACAAGTATTTGTGTGGCCTACAAGTAATTGTTCCGGGTCTGGATATTTGTTCTTGTGGAATTTATGTATGTGAACTATCCCGACAATATAAGAGAAAATCCTAGTGTGGGTTGAAGTAAAGCTGATTTTTTTAATATAAATAAGAAAAAAATATTATGTTGATTTCTACGTCCATTTACTCGCAATAGACAACATGAAGCGACAGTAGCCTAATAATGGCAGGGCGCGGATCGCGAACTCAAAAGGTCATTGGTTACCTTGAGCTTACCAGGAGTGGTTAAAAGTAATATTAGTAATGCTAATTAATAAGATTACTAATATTTTTTAACCCTTCTTATTAAAAAAAATATTAAAAAAGTATACACGTATATCCAAAGCTGAATAACGACTAACCAACTACTTTCTCGATGGCGTACTCCAAGTCGGCCGCTTTCACTATCGTCTGCTTGTACCTTGCCGCATGGAGTGCAGCCTCATTGCAAACATTGGCGATATCAGCGCCACTGAACCCGGGCGTCAGGTACGCTAGTCTGAAACAACAAAGTAGCTCTGCATGTGATCGAGAATTGCCGGATACGTTCCTTATATATATATATATATATATATATATATATATATATATATATATATATATATATATATGAAGAGCAGTGGTAGCTCAGATGGTTAACGCTCGCTGTAAATATAACAGAACGCGAGTAACCCGGTTTCGATCCCCGCCGGCACCAATGAAATCGTTAATTGCAATTTTAAGTGCTGATTTACCACGTGCTCGGCGGTGAAGGAAAAACATCGCGAGGAAACCTGCATGTCTGTGGAATAAAAAAAATATTTCGAAGACATGTGAAGTTCGCCAACACGCATTGGGGCAGCGCGGCGGACACTTCTTTGCCCCTCTCACAAATGAGGGGAGGCCTGTGCCCAGCAGTGGGACGTATATAGGCTGTAACTTTACTTTTAACTTTTTTCCTTATTTATCAGGCTGTAAGACGGCTCTATAATAAACGAATTTTACGGATTTAATTGCGTTTAAGTTTAACTTTTTTTGATTCCCGACGTTTGGGTGTTTCACACCACATACGAGGGCGGCACTGAAAATTTCGGGAATCAAGGAAGTGACACAACATTACTATTTAAAAATGTATTTATTGCTTTTCGAAGTATTCTCCGCGAAATTTGACACATTTTTCCATACGATGGAACCAATCATTGAAGCAACCATTCCATTCGGAAGTTGGGGTCTCCAAAATGGCCGTTTTGTAGGCGTCAACAGCTTCTTCAGGTGATGAAAATCTCTGTCCACGCAATTTATTCTTTATTTTTAGGGAAAGTATAGAAATCGTTAGGGCTTAGGTCGGGTTTGTACGGCGAATGGTATAATAATTCTATGTTTTCTTGCTCTAAAAACTCTTTTGTTCTGTGTGCAGTGTGAGAACTCACATTGTCGTGATGGAGGATGATGCGGCGGTTGCAGTTCTCTTTACGGAGTTCAGAAACGACCTGTGGCAAACAAATGCTAGCATACCATTCTGTATTAACCGTTCTTTGTCCCTCAAGAGAAATAGTCGTAACATGGCCGGTTTTGGAGACAAACACTCCGTGAACGAACAATTTTTGTTGACTTTAACTCATTTTCGAACACCCAAACTCGTGACTGGTTTTTTGTTTCGGGTTCGTACGCGTATATCCAGGATTCGTCACCTGATACGATGTATACAGCATTTGAGGATCCTGCGTGGAATCTTTCGAGAGTTCTGACGCACCAAGTAACGCGAGCCGCTTTTTGCTCTTCACAGAGCGAATGCGGTATCCATCGGGAAAACAACTTTTTTTTACACCTAATTGTTCATGCAAGATTATTTATATTTGACTCATGCCAATGTCTAAAGTTGCCTGAATTTCGCGGTATGTCACATGTCGATTTTCCTCAATCAGCTTACGCACAGCATTAACGTTTTCTTGGGTGACTGCAGTTTTCGGACGAGCTTGACACATCCACGTTGAAATTCAGGAAACCAGCGATAAATTGTGGGTTTGGATGAGGCTTCATCACCAAATGCAGAAATCATCCGGTCAACACACTGCTTTTGTGTTAAACCACTTCGAAAGTCATAATAAATCATCACTCTTGAATTTTCTCGAGTCAATTCCATTTTCTCAACGACTAAACAAGTTTGACAAAACCTTGTGACAAGAATCTTTTTTTTAAATAAATAAATGGTGTTCGATTTTTAAAGCCAAGGAGTTTTCAATTAAAAAGATTTTAATATGACAGGAACAGTGAAAATATTCCATTCCCGATACTTTTAGTGCAGCCTTTGTATGGTCACTGATGAGGGGGGACAGAACTTTTTACCGATTTCTGGACCACAGCATTCACTTGCCTTCAGGTAGACTGTGTGCACGTTTGTCACCCTTGTTCTATTAAAAAATTACATGTCCTTGAAATATTTTTAGTTCATAACTACAACGGACATAAATTTCCTTCACTTCTGCGCATGTGGTAAACCACCAGTGACGTTGGGGATACGACTTAAAGGCTAGCATACGAACTAGGCCATCGAATTATATTACTAGCGTATAGAACAGACATCACGAACCAAAAGTATGCATCATTTTGGTAAGTTAGAACAAAAGTTCGCTGCAGCGCTAAAATAACAACTATAAAACCAACGCTAGTTTGCATTAGGGATCAGTTTTCTCGCAACCAAAACGTCATAAGCGCCAGGAATTTCATGGCTCTTACGCGTATCGTTCAACGTAGTGTACAAGTCGCTCCCAAAGATTTTACATTTTGCCCGATTCTCGTGATTGTAACAACGACAAAAACTTTAAAGAGTTTTAAACGTTTAAATGTCTACTTACCGATGAAATGTTAAACCATCACTTTTTTGATGTTCTGGAGTGTTTACTGTAGTCTTTAAGAACACAACCTGGCATTTTGAAGTTGTTATTTATGCGAAGCGAACACGACTCGTCCGTGCGGGCGTTGGACACTCACTAAACATTTGCGGTACAGTACAAAATCATGCAAGGTGTTGTCTTCTCTATACGTGGTAGTAATAACTCAATAAATTAGGCACACTATGAGCGCACGATACCAATTCAATTGACTTTTTTTGTAGAATATGGGTGACAATCAAGCACACAACCATGAAGGTTAGAGAACAGGAGAACGATCGCCGTAGAAAATAGTGTCCCAGAAATATGGACACCATCAGTAAGGCGCTGCGATCACTAAGTGCAGTCAATAAAAGTGATTTTCAGTCTATTTTTCCGATCAGATGCTAAACCACTTGCACATCCACGCACAATAAAATATTTCTCCATTTTTTAATGTTTCTTTTTGTGAAAATTACAAAATTACGGAGCATGAAAATTTTCTACGAAAAAATGAAATGAAAATTTGTACATTATTCCACTAACTTCATCTACTTGTACTCATAAACAGCTAACTTCGCAGCCACTACTCACCGACGTCAGCGCCACTATAAATGCTACAATTTTCAAGGACAGTCGGGCTATGCTTTAGTACGTAGTGGTCGTTCTCCTGTTCATACACACAATCTACCTGATGGTAAGCGGATACTGTTGTCCATAGACATCTACATTTATCCACCACTACAATTTAAAATACAGATGCGTTGTCACTCTTGAGAAGCATGGCTGTACAACGTTCAGTTTACTGCCAAAATCACTCTGTAATCACTAATTTTTATGGAACCATCATAATAATATATTGAATAACTCATTTCGTCTCGTGCATGTCGTGCTATGGAGATAGATGAGCGATAGATGGCGTTATAACCAACTCGTTTAATATTATGGTTTTTATTTACAAACCGTTACTGTTTTAGGTCAAAAACGACGCAAAGTTACATACTTGTCGGAAAATTTAAATTTAAATCACAATGTACACAAAAAAATAATGACAGCATCTTTGTAACTTTAAACTAAATCAGTCTCAGTATATCGAAAATAAAGTTCGCAGCTTACAAAACAAAGAACTAATCCTCTCGTCCGCTCGCAGTCGACTAGACTAGTTACGGAGAATTGGCCGTAACAGTATCATAACATTGTAGTTTTTGCCTAGTCCCGCTGATCTTACCGCTTTGTACTTGTAAGGGGTAGGGTTTCACTTACCGCTTAAGATAGTACGGTGGTAGTTCTTCCAAGACGATGCTCTTGCAATGGCGCTCGAATATCTCTTCGCGCTCTTGCAGCGTCGGCAGATCGATCAGAATATGTCGGTCAAAGCGTCCGGGTCGTAGTAACGCCTGTGGATTGTACATAGAAATAGCTTGTATTCTGTTAATTCGACTGACACGACCAAAGCGACATCTTGTGGATAATTTTGTAATCTATTTACTGCACTACTGTAGGCGGATACTACGGACTTCCTTACACAAAAGACATGTGTCAATCATTCATTTCTCGTGACCGAATTCTAGTAAATTTCATCACGCAAATTAATCATTCAAATGGATCATTTCTGGCTCCAGTACCCTACACTAAAAAGAATTCATAGAGACCATTCGGGGTTTGGTCGGTTTTCGACTCATTCACAATTCACATCAATCACGAGTTAAAAAATTTCCGTCAATTTTTTGTGATTGGCTGTACCGGAACATTCAAAAACAGATGAATGAACCATCAATACTTTTAAGTGTACCAGCTCAAACGAACGAATCATTCATGATAGACACATGTCTATTCACATCCATATTACCATTCACATTTTCTTATGTAGCCACTGTGATTGGCCCACCCGGGCGGAGGTGATCTTTAATGCTTTCCATGCCTCTTTTGAATTCACTTGTGTACTGTTGACATTGAAGGAGCAGACTCTTGTTAAACGGCCACCATTTCTTAGTGGACGTGTTTTGAGATTTTCTTTCTTAAAAGAGGAATTTAACCACCGCACGGTGTTCGATTTTTTTCAACATTGTATAGTGAGTCATTCCCGTCGCCTATTTACGTTACGTAAGAAGTAATGAAGTAATCAAGATGAAATTTCATAATGATTTCTTATATTTACGCGAACACTACACATTGAAATAATACTAATTTTTACGGAATTTATCGCAGTCTGTGAACATGTACAGGATCGCCCCCGTCACTACATCAGATTTGATAGACCACAAATCCTCGCTAAAGAACACCGATTCCTTCCAAGGATGATTCGCGAGGCTATTGAAATCAAAAAACATCCTAATTTCAATAGAGAAGATGGCTGGGTGCTACCATCTGCTTGGGATCCTATAATAAATAAAATTAAATCCCAACCCAAGCATACAACTGCAAGACTCCATGATACCATAAGTTCATACTGTGTAGATCGGAACAAAAGTTAAATTTTAATCTATGGTAACCGCGGTTAACTATGACAGCTGGACGTTGAACATCTCAGTCCTTCCCGTGACCATGGGTGCTGTAAAGCTCTCGAAACGTCGGGTAAAAAAGTTAAATATACGCGATAAATTCCGTAAAAATTAGTATTATTTCAATGAAATTTCATATATATATATATATATATATATATATATATATATATATATATATATATATATATATATATATATATATATATATATATATATATATATATATATATATATATATACCCTCAGGTAGTGTCATTAGATAATATTTTTTTTAATTACTCACATTATTAGCAAATCACTAATGCCGAGAATACATTGAACGTCCCTCGTATAATATGAGTAGAAAAACAAGCTAACCAAAAGTACATTTTATCTTTCAATAGCTTACGGAGGAATCGTTCGGAATAATTCCAGCCGCACAATTTCACCATCACACATCACGACAAAAATCGAGATGCCATCCATACCATCTGGATGACTGGCGGTCCACAACTGTGCGATTTAAAAGAAGTTTTCTTCCTCGCACAACTTCCATGTGGGCGTTCCACGTAAGCACTAAGAGGGGAGCATTTAATTTGCTTGATTACGTCAGCAATAATTATTTATTTCATTTTTCGGTTTTCTGCCAAATTTAGTCGATTTGATTTTAAACAAATATGATAACTCGTCTATGCTCGAAAGCGAAACACATATTCTGGGATTCCCCAAACGCTCTGTGAATTCACCTTTACTCGCTCATACGAATACGGGAATTACTGCACGCGCAATTCATTTATCTAAATTTGTTTACACCACTTATTGGTTCGGTTCGGTATTATTGAATTTGCCGTGTTGCGAGATAGTGTTTGTTTTACCGTTGATCTACTCCCGCCAATGGTTTAAAATGTCGTCTAATATAGACAAATATAAATTATACCAAAAATTATTCGAAAATTAAAAAAATCTAATACAAATACAATACGGCCGACGTATCTTGGCGAGTCTGAATATAGGCTCTGCGAAGTTTAGCGCATGAACACTCGTGAAGAAAACTGTTATTGTCATTTTTTTATATATACCAATGTACAAATAAAATTTCCCTAATACAGTGACCAAAAATATCAAAACACTTTGGAGACATTATAAATTAAAGATTCAATTTTGATACCTCACCTTTCGATAGGGGCAGATTTTATCACAAACACATACAATATTATTTACATTTAATACTTTTTATTTATTTACACTTATTATTATTTAATCACTGTCGCTGAGGGGGGAAATTCCTAACATAAAGTCGTCGGCCCCTTGTGTACCATGTGAGGTACTTGGCATAGGTTCATCTTCGTAATCGTCGCTCTCACTTTCAGACTCACTTTCTGAATCTGAAGCTGTATTAATGATGAATAATTGATCCGTCATTTCGTCAATAATATGGTCGCTCTTCCTATAGTCATGTTCGACCTCTTGCACTTTTCTGCATAAAGCACTCCATTCATTCTGACCCATTAAATTTACTTTTTCTTGTATGAGCTCCATTGTCCGGGTTACGTTCCAGTCGACGTTTTTAGCGGCTACGTGCCCTTTAATGGCAGCCCACACCATCTCGATGGGGTTTAAATCGGGATGATATGGGGGTAAACGAAGGACATCGTGGTTGTTTTGTTTAAACATTTCATCTATTACGTATTTTTTATTCACGTCTTTGTTTTTTTTTTATTAGATCGTAAAGTTGTGGTTTACGCATGTCCTTTTCATATGGTATACCCTTTTCTAATAACCACGATTCCATTTTTGCCTTCTTGTCATTAGATGTAGGGGCAGGATCCATTAATTTGTTGTGGTACGGAGCATTATCGATAACCACCACCGAGTTAGGGCTCAAATTTGGAATCAGTTGGGTCCGTAACCATTTCTCATAATTTTTGAAATTCATGTCATCATGATAGTCTCCGGTTTTGCTGCCAGATTTGAACATTAGTAGCGCGTTCGGAACAAACCCTGCTTCTGACCCAGCGTGTACCATCACTATCCGCTGACCTTTTGATATCGGGCGCTTTAGTCCTTGAGCGGAACCATCTGACCACGCCTTACCTTTTGTATGTGATGAGTGGGCATACGACTCGTCAGTGAATACAATTGGTCGCCCTTCGTCCCTGTATTTTTTCATTGCCTTCAAGTACAAGATCCTTTTCAGGCGAATGTCGGTCTTCTCTATAAGAACCATTCTATTGGTTTCGGTCTTTCGCCACTTGAAACCCAAGTTTTTGATAATTGTCTTTAAGCTCGTTTTACCACCTTGAAAATTTATATCCCGTTTGAGTTTCGCTAGTAATTTGTTTATCGTCGGCATTTCTTTTTCAGTTTTGTGGAAGTTGTGTATGCATCTTTTTACTACTCCCTGGTCAAAATTATCCATATCAGTAATAGGTTTTGATCTAGACCTTTTTTTACCAGGCGTGCGGAATACTGAAAGTAAGCCCGAAATATTGCCTTCAGTTGCGATCCGCTGTACTGTGCGTTGGGACACACCAGTTGCGTTAGCAACTCTTAAATAAACTTTATCGACATCTTTTACGCCTTCTTCTTTTTCTTTTTTCATATATTGCGTTAAATCGTAAATAATTTTTCTCGCCTGGCGATTTAACACACTGTTATGTTTTGGTGGCATGTTTGGCGAATAATATAAGTGCTAACTGACACTTGCAAATAAAACAAATAAAACAAATAAAACAAACAAAAAAAACTTAACACTATTAATAAAAACAAACAACAATAACAACGAAAACTTTTGTAACCGACTGTGCTCAAGACAGAGATAGCGACACGAACACGACACCAATGCTAACGTGTGACTGAGAAATATTACCGTGTACCGAGCATTGCCGAATAAGCACGAAGCTTTACGAAGTAACCAGAAAGGGATGTCCAACACGCGTGCCTGAGGGTGTTGTTTAATCGATTTTTATTCAAATCGATTAAAATTAAGACATAAAAATATATTTATTTGCAATTTATAAGGAGGTTCTAAATTTTCTCAAATAGTCGTTACTCAAGAAGACGTTAATAGATAATTGATATTTAAGTACATTATGTCTTTCAGCTGAGAAAATAATATGTTTTTAGTTTTTTTTTTATTTAAGTCGAAATCTTGTTTATTATCAACAAAATTCACTATATTTGTAAATCTATTTCGTTTAATATCTTATGTTTAGGCCTAATTTAACGTTTGGCGGCCTGCGTCGGAGCTCGGGTCGAGCGGGAGGCGAGCCTGACGGCTGAGGCGCGGGGGGTGCGGGCTGGTGCGGCGTCCGGCCGCGCCGGCGTCGGCGTTTTGCGGATCACTTGCCGCAGAGCTTGGAACTGAGTAGTTGCGCGTCGTGTTAATAGCTTAGTCGCCCGCTGCCTCTGACGCCTATACTTCGCGAACCTGAGTTGTTTGCAACGCGGCCCGGTGATATTGCATTTTTCACAAAGGTCGAGTTTGTTGTAACGCGAGTTCGGTTAAATCTTGTTGGATTTTATTGGATTAACCTAATGACAATTGACTTGACTCCAATTAACAAGTGAGAAACGAGTGTAATTTCCTAGATTCTTAAATTTTTGTGACGGACTGCCACTTCGATATAAAGAATAAAGGTGAAGCCTTGGGATCGGCGGTTCTGCAACCAGCGGGAAGTCAGGTTACATAATTTAACACAATCACAACACAACACAGTCAAGCACGCCCACACTTACACCTGAATCTTCCTAGGGTTGACCCTACTTCGAAGAAATAGGTAAGTTTTGTTTGGTTCCCTTTTTACCGCTAACGTGTAATATTCCACAAGCCATTTAGGCCGACCTCCTGTTACTCGTCGAGTGGAACCCCTGATGGGCCCGGGTCCCACGACCTTGCCCGGGTAACTAGAGGC